ATTACACAATAGACATTTATTTCTCATAGTTCTGGAGTCTGTGAAGTCCAAGATCAAGGTACCAGCAAATTTGATGTCTGGTGGGGAGCTTCCTACTTGTTTGCAGATGACCACCTTCTTGATGTATGCTCGCACGTTTGAGAGAGAGGTCATATCTCTCATGCTTCTTGTTATAAGGGCACTAATCCCATTGATGAGGGCTCCATCTTCATGACCTAATTATTTTCCAGAGGCCTGACCTTCAAATACCCTTACAATAGGGATTAGGGCCTCAACATATGAATTTGGAGGTTGGGGAACACAAATATTCAGTCCATAGCAAGAATTGTTTAGTAGATCCAGGAATAGAGATTTCCTGAATTATGCAGTAGGCATAACAAACATATGCTATAGGCATCAATAAAGCAGAGACGCCAACAAAATTTTTTTAAGAATTTAACATTTAATTTTTACAACAAGGAACTTAGTACTTTGTGGAAGAGAAACCAAATGTAAAGCTTCTTCACACTCATTTCATCATTTAGCATATATATATATAATTTGTGGTTAACTATTTTGTTGTGGGTAGGGTTCTCTTGTCTTTTCTATCCTTATGACTTTTCTAAAGATCTTAATAACAGACACCTGGCAAACATAATGTTTATGGAAAGCAACAGGCACAAGAAGGAGTCCAAGAATGCTCAGGCGTGTGCAAAACTGGAGAAGTAACACAGAAGCAAGGAGAGATCATGCTAAATAAGCATCGACAAAAATGATTATATGTGAAAGGACTTCGACAAGACCAGTCTCTTATTTTAGTCCCAACTTCATCAGTTACTAGCTTTGTGACCTCCCCTTCCTTAGGAAGCTACTTAATGTCAGATTACTCATTGGTAAAATAGGGAAACAACACAAAGGGCCATATTAAGAATTAAATAAAAAGATGCATATAAATAAATTAATTCTTGCACATAGTGAGTGCTCAGGGCCACTTCCCTGCTAAGTTTATTATTACTAAGGCCTTCCAGATTCTATCCTCATGCCCCTCCATATCCATGAAGGATGGAGTCTGTGTGATCTGAAAGGTTATTAATATTTAAAATAAAAACCCTGCTGAGTTGGAGCAAAACATCACAAATAAATTACCTTCTATCAGCAGTAGTTTCTTAATTGGAATTATATTGCCTTATCATTTGCTTATTTATATGTAAATGCTTACTTGTGTTCATATCCTGCCACTATTTTCACATATGCAGCTCTTGTTTATTCATGGAAGGGGGGACGTAAAACATTAGTAGGGAATAGGAAATTCAGAAACGATGCCCAATCTTCATTTAAAACTATTTTTGCTAATAGTTTTAATTTCCCTTCCTCAAGTATATTTTTTGAAGGATCAAGCTATGACTAAGAAAGACATGGTCTCTGCCCTTGCTGAGTTTATGTTGGAGCTAAATACTAATCCATGCATCGTAACATTACTTCAGTCAGACATAGTGTGCGGGTTTCCAAAAGATAGTATAGAAAAAAGACCTACTAGTAAAAATGTACTTTGGGTTTCAGTTTTGTAATTATTTTTGCAACTCATATTTCCAAAATGTAGAAAAGTTAACACACTTTCAAAGATTTCCCCCCCTTTTTTTTTCTCCAGGAATCTTTTCTGGCAGTTACAAGTTCAGAATGCTTTTGTGCATTCCAAGCAGTCTTGCCCAGATTCTGCCACCTGTTCCATCATTCTGGGTATATTTAGGGTATAGTTCTTTTCCATATGGGCAGTGTAATTCCATTAAGTAGCAATCCAGCACAGTTTCTTTTCTTTTTTTTTTTAACGTTAAACCTCGAGAGTTAATCGTCCATCTGTGTGTAATCATCGATTCCATTAAGCCTTATGGCCTTGTCAGATTATCAAACATTTTAAACAGTACTCTTTTCTTCACAGGAAACACATTTGATAATTAAGGGCATGATGGAATCTAAGTTTTTGAGTCTGACTCCAAGGACCCACAGTGGCTTATGCTGATCCTGAGTCAAACTTTGCCTCCTCTAGATCACTGAGCTTTGACTACAACAGGACGTATCATCGATCTCGTTTAGTCAGATTTCCAGACAAGCAGGATATGATGTTTAGATGTCAAAGACAAATCAAATGTTTCACTGGTTTTGGTTTCACCTGCAAGGCGTGCTTTCAAATTTCTGTTTGCGATAACTGAATCACACGAGTATTGAAGAGAGCAGTCCTCAGCTATAGCCTGTGTGTGACACAGACTTCTTGCTTGTTTTTATAGGTTTCTGTTGTCTCTTATTGCAGAAGAGACTAGATTTTCAGACTGTCAGTGAGGAACTTCATAGAAGGAGGTAGTGTGGGTGGGTTTCTTGTCAAAGAACTTTGACAAGAATTTGAACTTTGATTTTTTATGAAGTGAAAAATACTAATAATTGTACACAAAATATTGCTGGCTTTAAGTATTTTTGTCCTTGTTTTGTTTATTAAGCAGGGATGAGCACAAGTTAAATGAGCAGAGCCTAGAGAAAATTAAAATCAAGAATTCTCACTCCAAGTCACAAAGTACAATCATGATGTGTGACCAGGGTCTTGAGAGCATTAATTTCCCATTCCCTTGACAATGAATTCTCCTAATGTATGTATTAAAGACATAGGACATAGTACTTATTATCAGCATATCATAAATCTTCCATTAAAATAATACAAATAAAGCACTGTGCCTAGGCCACTGGAGATAAAACTGTTGCATAATTGACAGACGGTAAGTAATTTTTTAAATCGAGTAATAGAAAATTGTACTGTCTTCCACAGTCTAAATCCCAGAACTATCTAGTTATTTGTTCGAGTTCCCTTATTTTATTTCAATGTGAATATTGAAATGTTTGTCTTCAGTCTACCAAAATCTAAATTGTGTATTTTATTTCCTGAAACAAAACAAAGACCTTTTTATGATTGTGTAAGGTGTCTGGACCCAGGGAAAGTAGGCTTTGTATGGTCTGGTGACTGAATTAGACGCACAAAGGGAGAATCTTGGCCTTTGCAGAGCAGCAGGTCTGGACAGCTTAGTTCACTGCACAGCCAACTCAGAAGCCCTTCCGGAGCAAATCTGGCCCAGAAGGCTGCACATATTTTTGCCTGGATAGACCTCTTCATGTTCAACAGGAGCCTCTGCAGCGATGATGGGGTCCTCCATATTGCTCACACAAAGCTACAGTATGGGACAGGAAATCTGGCTCTTTAACCCTCTGGCTGCTGCACATGATTATTTGGCTAGCAAAGCAGAAAAATGTCGACAGCCTAAGGTTTAAATGATTAGTAACAGGTTTTTGAGTGATTTTCCCAGAATGTGCTAGTATAAATAGAGGACTGTGAAAGTGTGGCTTGTGGTATTTTTTTTCTTCCTTTTGATATTGTGGCTTGTTTGTTTCCATTTCTTTCCATGACACATTCCTTTTTATGACTGTGTACACCCAAGCCAAATACCCAAATGCAGGCTTGAAAAGGAAGGTGCTCACCTCAAAACTCTTCCTGATTAGGAATCAGGTGTCTACATCCAGAATGCAGATAGGCTTTTTAACTCTCCAAAAATTGATCCATTATGGTGAGTTATTTTGGCTTATCCTACCCTAGATTTTGTTTATAGGCTGGAAGAGACAGACAAGACTATTAGTACATTATTACTTATGCAATATTTGAGAATTTTCTCTTTTTAAAGAGTAAATAGGCCACTTACTAACAATGTGATGCTTTACTTAAGAAGCAATACTATGCTTTATTTTTAAATGTTTCTTTTCTATAGTTACTATTATTATATTTTAAAAAACATGAAACTGACAAATAGATTCATATCCTAGGTGGTTTGATAAATGTTACTTATACATTGTAATAGAGAGATTAAAAATATGACATTTAATGAGTAGAAATGGCACCAAATAATGCAAAGCTTTGAGCTTAGTTTATTGAGATAAATCATATTACATCAACTTCAGCAAACATGGATATCTTAAAATGAATAATGACAATCTTCTGTTGGGAAAACAGTTCTGTTCAGTAACAAAGCAGTTTTTGAAATCAAGACCATTGTTTTGAAAATATTTGCAGGAGCCAGTCATTAGCTGGCTATGTGTCATGATATGGATGCAGGGCACAAATTATGATTTTCTATGTCTCAGTATGCATTTTTTGGTTACAAAAAGATTTTCTACTTTTTAGTGTGAAAGAAAACTGAAGCATCAGAATATGGGAAACCTCTAGGACTTGCCTAAGTGAATGAAATAAACCAACAGGCCTCTGATTTATATTTGTCACTATTCTTATCTATTTGGCATTTTATGTTGGTAATCACCACAAGATTCCTTGTAAAAGCCATGTTAAAAGTACCATATTTAAACAAGAAAGGGCAGAAGAAAAATGGTGTGTTTTCTTAGCACTTACAGAGGTGCTGGTTTTCCCAACTTAGGGGGGAAAAAAAAAAACCTCTTTCTAGCCTCAGAAAGACTATGCATTTCACTGAAGACAAAGCTCAATCTCCCACTGCCCCTTTACACATAATCTTGAGAGACAAAATCAGTTCACTGAATTCACTTTCTCACATGTATTCCATCTGTCTTACACCCACCACTCTACTGAAACGGTTCTTATTAAAGTCATCTATGACCTTCAGATTGCTACATCAGACAGACATTTTGATAAATCTTGTCCTGTTTAATATGGACCTCACCTCTTCCCTAAGACATTCCATTATTCTTGATGTTTTTGTTACTTCTTTGGCTTCTATCATACTACCCTTTGCTAGGCTTCTTAATTGATTTTTCTTTGTGGGATTCTTTTCCTCCATCTATCTTTTAATTTTCACGTTTCCCCTGATTATTCTATCTTAATCTTTTTCTCTCCTCACTTACTACACTCTGACCTGAGCTATGACACTCATCCTCCCAACGTGAATTACAACTCACTTGGTGAAAACCTCTGAGTTAGTTAAGAAGCTTTTGGATACAAGTAACAGAAATAAAAACATGCATAAGGCATGAAACTCAAAATTTATTAGCTCACATATCTAAAACATTAAGGAGAAAGTTAACTAAAGACTTGGCTGGATCCAGTAGTGCAAAAATATCAGCAGAACTGTTTCTTTTGTTAGCTTTTTAACTTCTGTATCGTCTTCATCTGCAGACTTTACCTATACGGAGACAAAGACACCACCCGTTACTCTGGGCTTACTTATTCTAACAGCTAGTAATTCCACTGAAAAAAATAAACACGACCACCTCTCTTCCAGCATCCTCACCAGTACCTGTGTTTGTTTTCTGATTGGCCTGACTTGATTCAAGTGCCCTCCACCATCAGAGGGAGAGGCGTGGCCTTTTAATAGTCAAACCAGAATCAGTAACTCAGGAAAGGGGCATTTCATAAAAGAAAGTAAAGAGTAGATTCAAAACAAAACAACACATGAAAACCTCAGTGGCAACTCTCAAATCTAGAATGTTTTTCTATACCCTTATCCTAGGATCCAGACAAATGTATTGTCTTCATTTCAAAATTACATCCCCAAAACTTGAATTAGAATTCCTCCTAGTCACACCCCTGAATATATTTATCTTCTTAAGCTTTTGGTAGTGCTACCACTACTTAAAATATCATCCAATGCAGAAACGTAGAAGATATCTTAAACTTCTGCCTGACAATTCTGTCTGCTAAATAAATACCAATGAAATACGTTACATTTGTTTTTTTCTCTCCAAATTTATTGTTACTACATTATTACAGGTATACGTTATCTTTGAACTGAAGAATATCCCAACAGGACTTATTTCCCTTGAATCTACTTTCCATATTGTTATTTCACTATCATTCTAATACTTAAATATATTCATTTTACTTACCTGCTTTAAGCCAAATCACCCCCAGGATGAGTTATTCTCCAAACTCCTTCCCTATCAGTTCATGCTCTAAGCCAAAACTTAAGCCAAACTAATCTAGAGTTTTCCAAATATGTCATTCTATTCTTGCTTGAGTGCCTTTGAACACAGAATTCCTTTGTCCTAGAATTCCTAGAATGTCCTAGAATTCCTTTGTCCTTCCTCTCCTATCTTTTTAAATGCATTTATCTCATAAGATCTATTTTAGGTACTTTCAAGCTGAGTTAAAAACTTCCCCTTTTTCAACCATGAACCTTGTATGCAATTTTTTTATTCCATTTATCAAAATGTATTTCTTTACATATTAACCTCTCTCTCTCAAGACTGAACTCCTGAGGGAGGAATATGTTTTATTATACTTGTTAAGCTTTTATCTAATTCTGTCCAATGACAGTCACCGTATCTGTAATATTGCATGAAAACAAATTTACACTGAATAAATGCATGCAGGCATGAGTGAATGAATGAATACAATAGTAAACTTTGATAATCTAAAGCTATAAAAACAATGATCACCACCCAAAAGGTAAAGGAGAACTTCATTTTTAGAAAACATTTAAAACAAAAGCTTTAATTTCTGACACTAATAATTTCAATAATATTCATGGCTTATAATCTGTAGGAATGTTTCAAGCCCTTCCACATTGAAAGCATCATTTGCCTTTGCATTGTAGGCCAAAAGAAGTATCATTACCATCAGTGCTACAGTGCTTATCAGAGGGAGAAGCTGAGGAGCAGATTGGTTGTGTGTCCATCCCAGGTTCATGAAGAGTGTTGGCGGTAGCACTAGATCCAAAAAATTTGTTTCCCTAGTCATTTAAAAGCATAAATTAGAGCTATTCTCCAGAATCAATGGAGAAGGCCAGAGCATGCTATTTTAATCAATTACAAAAGTTCTCCATCTCCAATCAAAGAAAGGTATTAGTGAAATGAATGAGAGTAATTAAATCTAATTTAGTCATGCAAATGAGTTTAATTAAAAGAAATCTACCCTTTAATAACTTCAGGGGAAAATGCAGTTCCTTATGGAGTTTGAAATTTAGTTAAGCTCACAAGACACAATAGCTGAACTGATGAGACCACACTGTTGTAATCTGCTTGTGTAAATATTGACACATGTAGCATTTAGTTTGTCTCACAGTGATAATACTTGCTCTAGGCTTCTGATGAAATCTGGCATTTATAATTATTAAAAGATGCTTGTTAAAAATGTTCTTATCCATCATGTTAATTCTATGAATGAGATCGCTAATACATTGACCTCCGAAATAAAATATTGCCTAAACCAGAGTTTAAGAAAATGAATTTAAATTCAACACTTATTGGAGCCCATACTCTACAGAAAACATTGAGCTACAATTATAGCAGGAAAACCAGGAGAGGAGCAATAGGAAGGTCCCTGTCCTGAGTATGCTTACAGTCTAATGGCTGCACTGTCTGCTGTCTGTAACAATTACAGACAGAATTATTCAGAATGAAACTACAAGACTTGGATGCCATAAGGAAAAAAACATAATTCCAAGGGAGAACATAAAATGGAACTCTTATTTAGAATGAGTGGGAAGAAATAGGAAACTCTTCACCAATGAAAGCAAATGTGACCTGGCTTTAGAGATAGAGGAGATTTTGACTGCAAAACATACAATGATGAGGAGAGACAGGGAGCCATAAAAGACAAAACATTATAGGCAAAATATTGTCCAAAAGAAGGAAAAGTCCATGCTTAAATGCTCTATTAGCTTGGTGGGCTACAGGAGAAAAAATTTTAGAAAGCAGTTCCATAGCTAGTCAGAGGTCAGATTTTGGGGGATTTTCAATGCCATACTTGGTGTCAGGACCCTTATCTGTAGACAATATAGAGGTAGGAAAGGGTTTTGAACAAAGGAGTGGCCTGGCTACTTGTTATTTGGAACGAAGGCTCTGATCAAGGATGAAGAAGAATTTATAACGGAGAAAGAATGGAGACCAACAGACTGGTAGTTGTAATTTGAATGAGGGTTCAGGATGCTGTGGTGTAGGGCAATGGCAATGGGAATACAAAAGGAGAAGCAGAGTCCAAGACTTTAGCAACCAATGAGCTTTAACACCGGTATCGGGGTGGACAGTGATGCTCTCAATTAAACTAGAGAGCACAGAAAGATGGGGAAGAGATACCCAATGAAGCTAATCCACAGTTGTGCATTTCAAACACAACTTCATGCCCTTCACAATGCCCTCATTCTATTCTTTTTCTTTTTCTTCATACTTCTATCATATGATATGCCTTCTTAGGTATACCGCATCTTCTTTGTTAACTATAAGCTTCAAAAGGGCAGATAATATTTTGCTCTATTGTTCACTGATGTATCTTGGAAATCTAGCATATTGTAGATATATCTTAAATATCTAGCACAGAATACAGTCTAACACATAATAGATGCTTGAAAAGTATTTGCTAAAAAACAATGAAAAGATTGTAATATTGAAATCAAGTTATCAGTAAAAAACTAAAATTAATACATGGCTTCCAAAACCTGAGTTATCTATCCCTGTTTACTTCTGTTTTTTCTTCTATTACTATTCTTCAATGGTGTCCCATGCTCCAATTATACAGAATTCCCTTTAGTATCATGAAGGCCTGCTCTCTTCTGTTGTTGAATTATATTCAAGGCCAATCACAATGTCTCTTATCTCCAGGCCTTTAAACCCATTCCTCCCTCTCCCAGGAATGTGCAAACTACTCCTACCTCCCTTATCTCTGCCCAGCCATCTCCTCTTCATTCTGAAGGGATCAATCCTTTCTCTGAGGAGCTTCTCCTTGGGAGAATGAGGTGGAAGAATTGCTTGAGCCAGGGAGGTTGAGGCTGCAGTGAGCCATGGTTGCCCCACTGCACTCCAACCTGCTGGGTGACAGAATGAGACCCTGTCTAAAAACAAAGAAGAGGCCGGGCGCGGTGGCTCAAGCCTGTAATCCCAGCACTTTGGGAGGCCGAGACGGGCGGATCACGAGGCCAGGAGATCGAGAGACGATCCCGGCTAACACGGTGAAACCCCGTCTCTACTAAAAAATACAAAAAAACTAGCCGGGCGAGGTGGCGGGCGCCTGTAGTCCCAGCTACTCGGGAGGCTGAGGCAGGAGAACGGCGTAAACCCGGGAGGCGGAGCTTGCAGTGAGCTGAGATCCGGCCACTGCACTCCAGCCTGGGTGACAGAGCAAGACTCCGTCTCAAAAAAAATAAAAAATAAAAAATAATAAAAAAAAAATAAAAACAAAGAAGAAGAAGAAGAAGAAGAAGAAAGAAACTTCTCCCAATTCCAAACCTCGTGTGGATGTCTCTAATTTGTCCTTACACAATATTCCATCCCTCTGTCAGAGAAAATTTTTACCCTGTATGATCATCAATTGCCTAGTCCTTGTTTACTTTCCCATCTGATTGTGTATTTATGAAGGAACACATGAATATCTTTCGCCAATGTTTCCCCAGCAGGTAGCACAGGACCAGGCACACATGAGCACTTAATACATTTGTATTCAAATAATAAACATGGTGAAAAAACACAAAACAAATAATAAACGTGGTGGTTCAGTTTTCAAAAGTAAACTTCAAAAATTCTAACACAGAAAAGGAATGCTTAGAATACTATTGTAGAGATATTCTAAATTAGAAGAGAAGAAAATTAAAATTCATTTATGATTGTACTGTTGTCTCACTTAAGTAAAATGAGAGGCTATTAATGACAAAGAGGGAAGAATTTGGGTTTGAGAGTAAAAGGAAAGTAGGTACAACTTGGGATAATTAACGAAATCAGGTAGAGAGAGGGAGCAAGAAGTGGACAAAAGAATAACATTACCAATGAATATCAAAGGACTCAGAAAAGGGCTCATTTGCAAAGAAATTGTCCTCTAAATGGTAAGAGAATGTAAAATTTAAAATATTGTAAGTAAGTAGATGACAAAACAAGAATAAAAGTTAACAATCTATTGCATTCTCAAAAAAACCCCAAAAACACAGTATTTTGTAATGCAGAATCAGAGATCTGAGGGCTAAGAAGGGTGCTTATGTAGAGTTACTACTTTTATCTGTGCTGGTTGTATTAATACCTTGAACCGAAGCACCCAGAGTCGGGGGTGAGTGGGAGCTACAACACAGCCCATAGTCTGCTTGCCATGCCAAACATCTGATGTGGGCCTATATCCACTAGGAAGAAGGGGTACATTTTTCTTGATACTCACCATGACTTTGTCTGCCTGCCCAGCCTTCCAACCATATGCCGGCCTCTCTCCAGAGGAAGACTTTTTCTTGCTCTCCCAAAGACACAATATGAACTAGTCTCATTCCTTTATCGGGATGAGGAAATAGGAGGCTTAGTTCAAGTTTGACATCTAAATACTAACATTTGGAATTTTAGATTTATATTGCAAGTTCTTTAATACATTTGCCATCAAAATAAATTTTAGGCAAAGGCAATAATAGTAATCTAATGAATGTGGGACAGTACTAACATCAACTCATCTAGAACTTCTTTAATGGAGTGATGTTGGCATAAGCCACTTCAAATTTATTTTTGAAAGAGCTGAAAACTAATTAAAGGATTGCATGAGACAAATGAGAGATAAACTGTTGAATAAATAAATATTATATCTTTTGGTTCAAGTTGCATGGCAAATATTTTCTCTGTATTCCCCTTGTGTATGACTATTTTCCATTAGTTCAGTATTCCTATGGCATTATTGATGAGGATTTAGCGAGAGAAATGGAATTGGGTATAGTTTTACCCTGGTTTCTCAGTCATTCTGAGCAAACTGGTATGGGTTTCAATGTCCTCATTTTTTAAAATGAGGAGGATAATGAAAGTCTGCCATGAGACTTCAAGGAAAAAATCATAAAGCACAAGAAAATATATTAGAGTAACTGATTCATCTCGTCTGGAAGGAAAGATTTTATCCTATCTATAATTGCAGTCATAAGCATTCTAGAAGCTTCTATTCATAATATTCATAATATTTAAGGAGTAATATTTAAAATGTATTTAATAATATTTAATATTTAAAAATTAAATAATTTAAATATTAAATATTTTAATAATTCTAATACTTTAAT